CTACAGCAGATATCCAGCTACACAGACTGAAAAATGCTTTGGTATCAACATTTTGAAATTTGGTGATTTAGAAAGAAGTTACAACACAGATTCAAGTGTTTGGAAAACGCCATTAAATTATGTCACAGTTTTCCATTTGACATTCCAACAGGTAGTGAACCAGTTGCCCAGTAACAAGAAGTACAATTAGCACAAAGATTCAAAAAAAAAAAAACTTTACAAATAAATCATACTCTGATGAAATGAGTTCATGGTATAAAACTACCAAAATTGTCCATTGCCGGGGACTCTGGGGTACGGGGACAAGTACAATGATAACAAAATACCTGAATTCCCACATGTCACAGTACCCTGGTTAATTGGGTCATATACAGGTCAAACTTTAAACCAACCTAACTCCCTTGGGAGAAAATAACCCAGAGCAGCATATAAATAGCACACATTTTAGGTGTTGACCATTTCATACCAGGTCTGCTTTCTCAGTATAAATCAATTCAAAACAGGCTTTTCGCCAGCCACCTGCCTGTCTGTCTGTCTGTTGGTCATTTTAGACGGGACCTTCACATTTTAAACAAGCACAAAAATTTATTTGATAAGCTAAATTTCTAGAAATTGATTAACAAAATAGCTATAAATAATTACCAAAAATAGACTCAAGTCTCTTGCCACAGACCAGCAACTAGTATATCATTTTTGATAGGAATTTTTAATTTCACGCTATAACATTGAATTCAACCAATTTCCTAGTATATTTATTAGTATCCATATTTGCTTTAATAGAACCAAATTTAAGAAAACAGTGCATTATTTATTTAGTTATTTATTTATTCATTTATTTATTTTTTTATTTATTTAGACATAACGTCCCTCGAGGGGATGAAAAAGGTTACAAATCAGGTGTTAGAAAAACAACTACATAAAAAAAAACATTACTGAAAAAAAAAATAAAAAAAAAAAATATTGAAACTACAGTTGCAAATAATGAAATTTGTCTAAAAAAATTATAATAATTTGTATACAAGTAATGTGTTACTGGCTTAGTTTAAGAATTGTTGCCGTCTTATAATAAAACAGTTTATGCTATACTCAACTATGACTTGCATCAATTAAAACGGGGTCCTGTCCAATCACAATAATGTAGTATTTAAGGCACTGATGTAATATTACTGTACTACAATGAATGCACATGGGTATAATTATATTTGTGTCAACAGTTCATTGACCTTTCTTTCATACACTTGCATGCAGATCAGCTTTTAGACAAAATAAAAAAAAAAAAAGTGAAAGTGAAACTGCCTTAGTCATCAGTTCTCTGAAAATCATTTTGTATCAAGCAGCCGGCCTCTCAATAATCATAAAGACGAAATGGAGAATTAAGTCTCGTCCAATTA